GACCTTAATAATAATAATAAGAAGAAACAGAGTAAAAACAATATGTTCCCCAACTTCGTTTGGGGAACATAACAAAGCGATATGAACTTTTTTCTAAATCAAATTAATGAAGCATTTTGTAAACGTAAACTCAAAATAATATTAATTGTAAAACACACTAGTAAACAAAGTACTCTCCTGCGTAGTATTACGACTGCGTACGCATCATCCATTGTTTACTTCCGCAGAAATATTAATTCGGACCAGGTGAAATTCGGACAATTCAAAAAGGTTTCTAGACTTAGCAATTATTGAAATTTCTACTTCAAATTAAATGAAAAACGCGAATTTATATTATTCACAGTTTTGTTTTTAGTTTGTTAATTAAAAAATTATCAAAACTCGTTTAAAAAAAGCACATTTGTGAAATCTAACATGAAAATTATTTTGACCCCGTCTTTCAGTACTGTCTCAGAACTTTGATTTATTGAAAGTGTTACACGGCAGTAAATTCCCCAAAATTACTTCCAGATCAAATATTCCTTCATTTTATTATTTTATACCTGTCATTATATTGAATTACGTGCATGGGCTTTTAATTTAAGAATTTGATAAAAAGAAATCAACGCTCAGAAATCATAAGGATCCTATAACTTTCCACCTACGATATTGACGTTACCTGTGTTTGGTTGACGTACTATGCGGCCATGCGGGTATCCGTAATTATTTCAGGGAAAAAATCTAAGTCCTCACTGCAAATGATAGTCTCCACAAAAATCAAACATTTTAACAGTCACTTTAAAACTGTCTTTAACTAACAGCTGTGAATGCTTCCAACAATAGAAATTCTGTTGGTACTACAAATTAAAACAATTTATACTGTGCTGCTGATTTTCCCCTTTCTTGTGTGTGTGTTTTGTTTTTATACAGTTTTATATAATCGAGATTTTTTCTATACAGGAATATGTTATTGAGACAGCAAATAAATAAAACCAAATATATTATATCAAAAATATTTCCCAAACATAAGAATTTATTATACCACCCCCTTAAAAAAAATCAATCTTCCAACATGACCAAGCATCGATGACCACATCGTTTGAATAGATCTACTTTTGACTTTGCCCAGTCGCCAATCCTCATCACCCCCCCCCCCCCCCCACCCTTGCTTGCAAAAAAGTCGGTAAGTGGTCAAGTAATCAAGAAGAAACTATTTTATTTCTACAAATCAAGAATTTATTTTATTGAACAGTCCGAAGAGTCGTTTTATTAAGCCGACCAAAGAAGGTGTACTTTTGTCACAATTTTTACCAGTTTGACAGGTGCTACGTCACCTGCATTGAAGCATAACTAATCCGGGCGTCTACTGGGTCGAATTTCACGATATAATCAAGTAAAACAAGATCTTTTCTGCGAACTTTTTTATTTCTCATCTACTGCAGAGCTGGTAGATGAAAATTTTTTTTCCTGTAACGTGAATATTTCACACATTATTTAAATAATTAGGTGATCAATCCAAGTCTACACATTAAGATATAGTATTCCTAATGTTTTTTTTGCTTTTGTTTTTTTCAGATTGTGCCAGAATTGCACTGTTCAAATATTTTGATTTTCTATCGGTTTTTGCAAGTAAGGTCAATGAATTTTGGAAAATCTAAATAAAACATTGTATAATTTGCATATCAGGTAATTTGAGTAGCATACATGACATCGTTGACAATGTTAATCTGAAAGCACGTTCGTGTTTTTTTTTTTTCGGTCGGTAATAGCGAAAGCAATTCAATGTTCTTAAATTGATAAATAACAATTTAAAATTAACAATTAAAATTTACTATTTTTATTTTAATGATTTTCCAACCCTTTTTTAATCACAAATCACGGGAAAACAAATATACCAATCATCTGCGGCCGTTTTATATTTGAAGGACGAAAATAGGGTATGGGTGATATTTTTAAGTGTAAAAGTTTGATTTTGTAGAAGATTTCTAAAATTCTTGTGAAGAGTGGTAAGAAAAAATAATTTTTAACATTTAATCAGCAATTCCATTCTATAACTAGCACTGAAGTTTGTTTATCAATTTGCACGCGCTCGTTGTTACTATGACGTCAAATGTCGTAAGGGGACGATTTATGGGTACTCTAGGATACATTTAATTCTTTCAAACCTCCCGCATTTCCTCAAAGATGTGTATATACATGAATAGGTCTAAATATTGCCGATATATTTATGTGGAACACAAATGGTTAATTAAAATATAGCCTTCATTCATAATTAATTATATATCTATTCCCCTCTCTCACTACTGTACGCAAAGGCGTCGGAACCCGGGGGGGGGGGGGGGGGGGGGGGGGGGGGGGGGCCCCCTAGCCTCCCTACTTAATATTTGCAAATTATATACATAATGTAGGCATTGGAATTTACCTTTTTCTTTTGGCTTAGCCCCCCCCTTTCAATTAGCCCCCCTTTATTTTTGTTTCCGACACCTATGGTACACACACTAGCTTGTGTTAATATTTTTTTTCTTTCTGCATACGAGATCATGTTCAGATCTACGATTGCTTTCTACGATCGCTTTCAATCAGACCGCTTACTGTTAATTAAGGGATATAAACTTAATTATAAGTTTTAGGAACTAATTAAAAAGGATTGTGGTATACTCCTGTATTTGTTAAGGGGATAGCCATTTTATTTTGAGGGTGAGGGGCTGGCAGATTTTAGAAATAAATACTTGCAGATTAGTGATCTCCCCCTCCCACGAATCAGAGTTTTTTTTTTTTACATTTTTTTTTTTTGCATGTTAGACTTTTCAATGAAAAGGAAAATAAATAAATAATCTGTCCTTCATCTAATTGATCCGAAATAAATATTAATCTTTCCTTCATTGACATGAAAATGAAAAAAAAATCTGACTTGGAAAAACTCGCCTGCCCCCCCCCCTTTCCCTCAGAATCAAATGGTCGTCCCCTATCCTATTTTGAATCAATTAGGCGGATCTCTAGTCTCCTGTTTTTGGTCATATTATTGAAAAATAAATGAACACAATGCACATGCTGGAAATAAGATCTTGATGGACATTAGTACCCTCCACACAAAATAGTATGCAAGTTAAGATTTTCAAATCTTAATGGCCAATTCAACACCTCATCCTGTACTGTAAATATATGAAAAAGTCAAATTAATTATCTAGAAAATTTATTTAATAAACATTTCTTTTCAAATCCAATGACAGACTGTAGGAATGCTGGGCAGGTGCAAATTATTTCCATCACTTCATGTTCTTGTGGATAAAATGAATTCTGAAAATATAAGAAAATCAGGAAATACCATTATTGAAAGTAATTTGTGTTTAAAAAATGAAATAAAAAAATACACTGAAACATTTAAAATAGGATGCATATACATGTTTTCAATTCTTCTGTTAGTTTTATTATCAAAACTTTGCATGGTTTATACACTGTACATGTAGCTAATATTGAGCATACCATTTTCCTTAAATGGTGGATTAACTTGCTGCCTGAATGAATCCATTTGTCCAACAGTTAGGAATAGCTAGGCCTACAACACAATATATATGCAGTTACATGCCATGAGATTACTAAATATACATTGTAGAATAAAATGGCATTACTTTGACAAAACAAATTATGCTTCATTGTATACTGTAGTGAATTTATATTAAACATATAAATGGGGAAAAAATGTGTTACAAAACTTCTCTGGGAAAGTGAAACCTCTGACATTTACAATAGTTATTGATAGAATATTTTCTAAAAAAAAATTCTGAGTTTCTCTTTTACCAAACTGAAAAAAACCCAAAATGTAAAGTACATGCAAACTTTAAAAATGTGAAATGCTTTAGAAGTATACATACCCTGTGGAGAAATGATGCATTTTTTATTTATTCAAACTCTGGACAACAGCTACAATGATAAAAGTATTATATAAATATTTTTAATGTACATGTAATCTAAACAAAAAATGAATATTTTTTTCATTAATTTAGAAATTCTAGGAAATTACAACCATAGATCTGATATGGGGCTTCTATATATGTTTTCAACACAATGATACTGATATTTTTTTTAAATTGTGTAGCATATTTTATGTCAAAAGACATCATTGCTTGTTTAGGCCTAGTCACTAGTGAATCATTGACTGAAACAATGAAAACATCTCATTAAATTTTACAACTGACGTCCACAGACCAAAATTTTAGTCCCTAACAATCTCGCCAAGGTTAGTGGACGTCAGACCAAAATTTTAGTCCCTACCAATCTCGCTGAGATTACCGAGTTTAGGGCAAAATTTGCAGTTATCCGCCGGCCGGTGGCGTCTCCAAATATGTGAAAAATTCTCGAGAGGGACGTTCAACAACATACATTCAATCAGCCAATAGTTATTCATCAGATATGATGTTTGGCCAAAGGATCATGAAAATATGTCTGAGGAATATGGTTGGAAGACTGGGTTTTCTTTCAGTTGCCAAAGAGGTTTACTAACATTGATCTATACAGGAGGATATAGAGAGAGAGCATTGCTGTTGACGATCCTGATCTTGGATGGTAAAAACTGTGGATCTCCAATGGTTTGTAACAGCCTGGTATGCCTCAATGTCGATTCCTTTATCACCCGTTGTACAGCTGTTGGTCAACATCAACGTGTTCTAGTGACTTTGCAAAGTTTGTGAACTCCTCAACATTCTTTATTGTAGTAGCTGCAGAACTGTAGCGTTAGGGTTTTATATAGGAGTATTAGTCTTTGGTCAATACTGATATCGTATAAAACCATAACGCTACAGTCCTGCAGATCTCTACCTTTATTGGACTACTGTTGATCAGTAAGGTCACTGCACTGTTAGGGTTATTTTACTCGTAAAATAAACGGAGTACCGGTAATATTTGGAACACACATACATGTAGTAGAATTTACATATCTTTCATCAATGTATCTTCCAGATAAATATTGTCCCTATATCCAGCTTTAAATTATTTATTTTTTCGGAAATAGGTTTATTGGTTCTGAATTTAGGAAGCGTTTTCTTTTGTTGGTGAAGAAAAATGACTGTTTACCTTGTCATTGCTGCAGCGACGTTTGCTTTGTTTGATGTTGCATATTACACGAGAGTTTTAATTTCAATTATTCTGTACACATGGAAGGGAAAATTTAAGCGAATGCCAATTTTGGATGAAAGCGTAATAAATGGTAACGTACCATAACCAGATAAACATCTCTGATAAAGGGGCGGGCCAAGTGTAGTCTAGTCCGAAAATTCTGGCGTTTTCCTGGCTTTTTTACGATTTTTATAATAAAATATAAAAAAAAATATAAAAAAATATAAAAATCGTAAAAAAGCCAGGAAAACGTCAGAATTTTCGGACTACCTGGCTTTTTTACGATTTTTATATTTTACATGCCAGGAAAACCTGGCATGTAAAATATAAAAATCGTAAAAAAGCCAGGAAAACGTCAGAATTTTCGGACTAAGTGTAGTCATGAACAGGACCTGATGAAGTAAAAGCTAAAATTCTTTTCTTCACATATCGTTTCTAATATTAAAAGTATTAATAATAATCTGATTTATATATATTTAATAATTAGTAACGTAAAACTAAAAGAATGTGGACGCACTTGATACATGTATGGAATCTAGGCGCCTTGAAGCTTATTGAGCCTCTATAAATTTTTACATTCGGCATGTTCTACAATAAATATTTAACAGACTGGAAAGTATTCTTGCACTTTATCTTTAATACGTAATATCGCGAGTACCAATGAGTACTGCGCAGTTATCTAACTTACTACCGCTCTTTTGCGTGGGAGTCGAGAAAGGTCTAAATTTCTGGGGCACATGACATTGTTTACAGTAGTGACAGTCGAATGATTCGAACAATTTAATGCCGAAAGCACAATGTTTTGCCAAATATTGAACTCCAAATAGTTGATTGTCAAATAAGGAAAGGTTAGAATATTTTATCTGCTTAAAAATGTGACGATATTCAATGAAAATCTATTGAGAAGAGTTCGCTTCGTTAGAAATATCGTTAAAAATGTAACAATTTAGGACTGGCTCCTCTCAAAAATTTATTAGGCTGGTTCAGCGATTGTTTAGCAAGGCATTCCACAAGGATTTTTTACTTATCTGTCCTTATAAATTCTACGATGATCGATCTTGCACTGTATTGAATAGCACATTTGCCCCCAGCCAACAGACGTTTCCTACCTCTATCGCGAAAGAGTTCCGCTAAGTTAAGTAATCGCGATATTAAGTATTCAAAGCAAACACTAGAATAGAGGCTAAAGGAGTTAACATTCCCAGATGCAGTGATGTTTTTAATTACAGAAAAGAGTAATAATCCCTTTTTTTAGTAATACTTCCTGAAAAAGGAACTGGGTCCAACCTGTTCCAATGATTGATAGTGTGGGGGCCAGCCGGGTTCGATCACTGGTGGCCAGATAGCTCAGTTGGTAGAGACCTGACCGGAGTTTCAGGAGGGCCGGGTTCGAATCCCGATCTGGTCCGCTGCATTTTCTCCTCTTCTGTTACAATAGCTTTCTGGGTTTCTGTCAGCTAGGGAGGACAGCAAACTACAAAAATATTATTTCTTCTGGATCTTTTTTTTATGGCTCTTTGGGTTTTCCAAGATATGGAATATTTCTTTCACCAATGAATTCACAAAATAAAAACTATCCAAAGACAATGTTGCTGGCCAAAGGTTTCTGATCCACTATACCCTTGGCTAGCAGAGATGCTTTAAACTAATTCTGAACTGTTTTTTTTAAATACAGGAGTGTGTTGGACAAGTGATCTAGATGCAAATTGGCACATGAACAATTCACGCTATCTCCGTGAATGCGATTTTGCCAGGCTGAAATTTTTCCTGGAAAAGGGCATTTTTAGCGGCCTTTGGAAAAGCAATGCTTCAATCATTAATGGTGGAAGTACCATAAGATACAGAAAATCTCTAAACTTCATGGACTTTTTCTTCATAAAATCAAAAGTGAGATGTGTTTTTCATACCTTACTTATATTTCTTCATGTATAAAATTATCCAAATACACAATTTACATGTATTTGTAACAAGACTGCAGTTCTCATTACCTTCAATTTTTGAGCCATTAATATAGACCACAAACATTTCTCTTTTCCTTCAGATACTCCACTGGGATTCAAAAGCATTTTACCTAGAGCATCAAATCATAGAAACAAAAACTAACTTTGTGTCAGCCATTGCACTTGTCAAAATGGTTGTGAAAGGAGCCAGTCCAGACACAGTCCTGAATAAAATGGACGTCAATTTAACTTCACCAGCACCTCCACCTGAGTTACAACGACTTATAGAACTTAATCAGATATCTAGTGGAAAACTAAGAAAAGCTTTGTAAAATGTAGTTTATCAATTTAATCTTGAGCAATGTACCAGTAAACTGTGATACATGTATATAGAAATTAATCAGGTCTCAAATGGAAACTCAGGGAAACGATGTACATGTTATTTGAAGATAAGGTAATTTTAGAACTTTTAAAATGCCAAAAGCAGTATTAATGTCAGAACTGTTTCTTAATACTGTAAACGTGGAAATTTCGACGATGTGCTAATTT